TGTATCGACAATAAAACAAATAAAACTTCTTTTCATATTAAAATAATTTTATTATTCTACTTATATAACAATAAATAGATATCTATATTATATTATCTATACCTATTATAAATTATTAACAATGAAAAATAATTTTTTTTGTTAATTTATTACAATTTTGTTGTTTTTGTTTATTATGATACATCAGTAAAATTATTGTTCTGGTCGCTATGTTTTTCTCTAAATTCTAGCCCGTGAGACTTTATTAAAATACTCAATATTTACTCTAACAGTGGCTATTGTCGCTAAATGTCTTAAGAATTTTGATTGGTTGTCAATTAAGTGTTGCTAGGTACCAAATTTCGCACCGTTTTCAGACGTTATTATTGTCATCGAGTTGTCTCGCCACCATTTTTTACTGTCGCTAGATATATCATTATCCATCAAATAGATATTCATTTAAATTGACTAAAAGTCTTTACGTGTTTTTTTAAAGCTAGCGACTTGTACTTTCTAGAAAAACTTAGCTTAAAACTTAAAACTGCTCTTGTAGAGATTCTCAATAGTATATTATACACCAAAGGACTGAAGTGGCACTTTTTAAACCAGTCGAGCCACAATTTATGTATTATATGAAAAGAAAAACTAAAAAAATCATAAAAATTATGAAAAACCACTTAATGGTACTTATTAACAATGACGATGTCAGTGCACTGTTGTTATTGTGTTGATGTATATTTCACCATCTACTGTATTTTCAGTTGTATGGAATAAGTATAGTGTACTTTTAATCCCTAGTAAATAAACTTGCCAATATATACTTATTGTGCTTTTAATCTACGGGTAGTAAAAGTGCCACTATAGTCCCTGAAAATAGGGACCAAAAGGGTAATTTTAGTCCATAAAGTGCATAAAATGATTTAATCACTTGTATTTTATTACAATTTTTGATTATATACAAGGTGTCGTTGAAATTATAAATTTATATCTTTTTTGTGACTCAATATATGCATATATAATAAAAAATATTAAATTTAATAATATAAATAAATAAAACAACATTTTTGAAACGTGAATGAATTGACAGTTTGACAGACTGCTGTACTGCTATGTCTTATCAAAGCAGTAGGTATATTTTTACGGTTTCTAACAAAAATTATATACAGTGTGATGATGGAAATGTATGAAATAAATTCCTTATTTTAAAAAGAGCATTTAATTAATTAAATACATAATACTGGTTGATCCTATAGAAATAAAAATTCGAATTAATAAATCGTTTTAGAGATGCTTATAAGACCTCTCTCGGTACCCGTTTGTAAAATGATACAGTCATATTAAATACTACAATGTTTTACAACTTAATATTAGACTGTTGCATACATTTTGATTTTTTTAACATTACCAAATAATGAAAGCTTAAAAACTATATCAAAAAATGTATTTCATACATTTGCATCATATTGTATATACCTGGTATAAATAAGAAGCTGAGGAAAATTACTCATTAACAAATCTTATGTCCTTGTTTGTTTACTTAACCAACATATTTAATTATTTTTATTGAGGTTTTGTAGGCCTATCGGGGAAGCTTCTATAGCGGAAAAATTATTATTTAAAACGAAAGAATGAATAATTATGCTGAATGAGACTGTACTACAATATTATTATTTTTCTGATCCTATACATACGGGATAGCAACAGAGTCTAGCAACAAGGTATTTAAGGCTGACGAATGGAACTGTATTACATTTTTAATGTACTTTTTTGATATTCTTAAAAAGAGGATAAAATAGGCTTTTCTCTGACCGACATTGTCATTTAAAAAAATCAAGATGGCGACGGTGCGTTAAACGGATAAATTGGACATGTCCTCTAGAAAAAAGAATTCAGTCCCATTCATCACCCTATAATTTCATAATTGTAGTTTTACTCATTTTAAATATGAAGATGGCATAATTATACCAGAGAGAATGTGAAAGTTTTGACAGTCGATAATTTAGATCACACAATCACACCAGTGATGTCTACAGTTATATAGATAGCTCATCCAGTTGTAAATATTGGGGTATATATTCTAAAAACTAAAAATTATATCGTTTAGTCGTTTTAACCTGTCAGATTAAAACAAGAAAACCGACAATTCCGAAGCAGAAGCGGATGATTAAAACGCACCTATTAAAAATATTGCGCCAAGATGTAGGCAACACGTAATAAGGGATCAAAAAGGCGGAGCTTTCTATCTCCTTTTAAAAGGCACTCAGAAATCTGCGCAGTGCGACCATTCTCCGTATAGTAAAAGAAAATCAAAATATGTGGCTCAAATCTCACATAAAAATAAAAGAAAATATGTCCCTAAAAGGTACTTAGTTCTAAAAAATCCACCAGAGGTCGTTTGTAAATGACGTACTTCTTTGACCATTATTAGATAGACAGAGAATAGGATATTTCGCGTTTTGCCATCAACTTGTATCCAACTTCAAGATCGTTTGTTTTTGACAGGTTAATATTATACTCATGTTCACGGAGCATTCCAACGACCTGTCAAACAATAGGTGCCAGTGGGAAATTCTTGTATATCTAAGGAGGTAGCGACATAGTCTTGCAACTTGGACACTATTTTTATTCAAAGTAGTAGTCGCCAAGCCTGACAATTTATGAAGAAATGTATAGGTGGGTTTTTTAAATATTATTTGTATTGTGTTTGACATAAAATATTTAAATGTAATCCATTATTCATGATTTTACGTAAAGTAGATAGAATACACCGTATGTCGCCACCCTTAGATATACCAAACCTTCCCACTGGCTATTCATTTGTTTGGAATGCCTAGTTATTGACAGGTATTTTAACTTCATCTAAATCTCATCCATCCTGTATAGATAAATTATTCTGAACGGTCTTAGGGTTGTGACGGCATTGGTAGTGGGATTTTGAAAAAATGAATGAGAGTTGTTATTAGAATTATCAGTAAGAATTTAATTTGGAGAAAGACGCAGGGATTAGAGGTATTTTTATCTTATGAAATATGAAAATATAATAGACTTGGAATGGTTTTGCCAACCACCTCACAAAATTACTGCTGTCTAATTAGATACAGATGAATTTTTTTACTAGATAAAAGTTAAAATTAACTAAATATTTCTGACATTTCGCCGTCATTTTTTGTTTTCATTTGGTTAATCATTTTTGAATGACCTCTGGTGGATTTTTCTAAATACTATACTCAACTTAGTGACCTATTTTAAAGAGACTTTAAACCACATATTTGTAAAAATCATAAAATCAAAGTATGTGCTTTAAACCCTTTATTAACTGTCATTCATAGTGATCTGTCAAAATTTATAGCAGCCTTTGGAAAGCTGAAGCATCAGACCTTAACTTAATAGGCATTGCAAACAAAATGGCTGCCGGCAGGCTGCCTGGTGGAATTGATAGGGTCAATGATTATATGTTAGAAGAAAAAATGTAGGTAATTATTTTTGTACTACATTTATTAGGGGGTGGGTTAGGTTAGTGGTTAGTGAGATCAAAGGGTCTCAGATTTGAATGCAGCAGACGACAGGGATTTAATAAATTTAATAAATTCAATATAAATTCTAATGCATAGGTAGGATTACTCACTCGACCATTCACTGTTGCGTTCTAATTAACAGTGCTAATTCTAAAGTGGCGCTAGAAAAATATAACAAAGCCTACACATAACACGAAGCTAATAACCTAAGTAGTTGATGCCGATGAAACCAAATTAAAAAAAAAAAAACATTTCGATTAATTCCGATTAATGAGCACTTGCGTTGCGCAATCTATATAACTATATACATTGACCCTGTCAAAGCCACATACTTTGATTACTATACGGGGCAAGAGAGAGGTCCGACCAATGAACTGGAGGGGGGTAGAATGCCAATGTACATTTTTCTATGTGTTGTACTATTAGAACAAGGTGCGACTCGATGGGCGCAGCCATTTTTATTGTTCATCTCACTCGGGACTAGTTATAATAACCATTTTCTGTTTCACATTGTTATTGTTCAATCCACAAGCTGGTGGATCAGACAATAACAATGTGAAATAGAAAATGGTTATTTTAAATACTCCCGAGTGAGATGAAAAATAACCTATCTTCGCCCATAGAGTCGCACATCAAGTCTATTGACAAGCAATCTACCCCACTCCAGTTCATTGGGTCCGACACGCTCAACATAGGGCGCGGCCTTTTTGATTTCTATGACACAGTTTATAGCTAAAGAATCAGATCGCTCACTCTGCGTCGGCACTTTTGATCTCAATGTTCCAGTTTATACACAGCGCAACTCGGATAATACAATATATGACAACCGCCTATAATAAAACAGCAGTCTTCTGCGTATCCTGAATTTGTATCCCTGGAGTGGATGGAATTTTCAACTGGTCCGAGTGAGCTAACTAATTCTTTAGCAATAAACTGTGACTCCAAAAATAATATTCACTGACACTGACAGCAGCAAGCAAAATATCAGGTGCGTTTTAATCATCAGCTTCTGCTTCCGGAATTGTCGGTTTAGTCGTTTTAACCTGTCATATTAAAACAAGAAAACCGACAATTCCGAAGCAGAAGCGGATGATTAAAACGCACCTATTAAAAATATTGCGCCAAGATGTAGGCAACACGTAATAAGGGTTCAAAATGGCGGAGTTTTCTATCTCCTTTTAAAAGGCACTCAGAAATCTGCGCAGTGCGACCATTCTCCGTATAGTAAAAGAAAATCAAAGTATGTGGTCAAAGCCAACAGGCAAACATTTTGACAGGACTTTGGAATTAGGCACTTGTCAAAGAGTAGCTGCCAGTAGGAAAGGCTCTTAAATCTAAGGGGGTTGCGACATAGCCTTCCATTTTCGAAGATTGCAGATAGAATACATCTTATATCGGAATCTCTTAGATATACCAGCTTTTATCACTAACAGTCCTTTTATTTGGAATACCTAATAATTCAAACTGTCATCTGTCAACTCGCAATTCCTCTACTTACATCTAACTTATTTATTACTCACTAATCTTATCGTGTACTTGTAATATCTCCTCTAAATTGTTGCATTCCTTGTAAGGACTGGAATCCACCACCTCTATCTTCTCTGAGTTACGATTCTTCAACTTGATCTGTTTCTGTCGAAGCTCTTGAATCAGTTCCCTATTGCTGGACAGACTGTCTGTCCTAACCAAACCTTTAAAGGAAGGTTTCGGAATCAATCCTTGTCCGTATGGATTGACGAACACAGGATAATGTCCAGCTAGAAGATTGTAGTCCAAATCTTGAAGAGGCGACTTCTGGCCTTTGTACAGCACCGGTTCGTAGATGTATGAGTTGGTTTTGGACAATCTGTCTTCGCGGGGATTGATGGACGATTCTTGTTGGATTTGTGCTAATTGGATGTTGTCGTAGTAATTATTGTTGCCGTTTTGTTTCATGTTGTAATTAAATTGAGGCTGTTCTGAATAATTGGGCGTGGTTTGTTTGATGTAATTGTAGTTAAAGTACGGTTGTTGGTCTTTGTAGTATTCTGAACTGTAGGGGGTTTGCGGTTTGGAGTCTAATTCGTCGGATCTGTAAAAATTAAATCAAATATGATACTGGAAAAAGATTCTTGTTATTAAATAACTTTATTATAAGTTTCTGAATTGTTTCAAAGCGTTATTTCCACGACTCTAGCCTCTTATTGTTGTTTGCATCGAGAGTTTTCGAAAGTTCTCGAAAGTTTAGAGGGATTAGAGCCTAAATTGGGAGTTAGAAGCCACGCGTCGTTTATTTTTATACCTTCGGACTATGTAAGTCACCCAGCGACCCTCGTCAGAGGTAAACTCCGGGGAGACCACTTTAAAGTTGGTTGTTAGAAGTTTCTGTTTCGTTGTTGTTCTTCTTCGGGCTTCACGCTGACATTTTATTATTTTTTCTCGGGAAAGACCGGTTCGAGATATTTTATTTTGACTTACTACATACATTGAAAGGATGATCAGTGATCAGTAAAACTTCTAAATAATTACAGGGTCTTATTTTGATATCCAAAAATAAATTGAATAAATACTAAAAATTAAAATTTGGGTGTTGGCCGCTACTATTGGATCTAAGGGGAAATTAAATAATATTAGGATCAATTTAATATGTGTTTAATAAAATGTTTAGCTGTTCATATTAATTATATTAATGTAGATGCGGGTAGCCATGGAAATGTAAACTTTTAAAATAATTACGTTATCATGTTTACTCTTTATTCTAACATTTATTTATATTTGTGGTTATACAGGGTGATTCATTAAGAGCAAACATGACGGGCGCTCCTCCGCCAAAAATCAATTTTACATTTGAGGCAGTTAAAAAAAATTGTAAAAAAAAATGGTTCAGGCCAATCGTTGTAAAAATGAACCAAGAATTTCGCTTAACCGCGAAAAACTTATATTTTTAAAGAAAAACAACAAAAATTTCAACTTTTTAACAAATTTAATTTTTTGGCTCTTTACCGGCATTCTATAACAAATATCTTAACTATTTTCTAAATAACTTTTTTTCAAAAAGATTACCAACTTTAAACAGGACCGAAGATTAACATAGTTTTCATTCCGATACTAATTCTATTAAAACAATGATACCAGTGAATATGGCAACGCTGCTAGTCTTTGAAGCCCGTGGTTAAAAGGGTAGCTGCTGTTTAGTTAAATTTGTTAATTCCTGTGTCGAAAAATAGGTAGTTGTTTTTGAAGAGGTGCGAAATTATTGTGATCGTCTTAGTTTGTTGTTGAGGCGTTGTTAGGTTTTTGTTTAATTTAGTTTTTAGTTAATTTATGAAATGAAAAATTCTGGAAGGCAAAAATGCACAGCTGACAAATTTCTATTTTATTTGTTTGCTGCCAGAGTTAGTAAATCCTAGAGAAATACGACATGTGCCAATTAGGGAAAAGAGATTGTCAAGAATTTTGCCCGCTTAAAAAAAATGTGTAATATACAGGGTGTTTCTAAATACATGCGACAAAATTCAGGAACTGATTGCTCGTATGAAATTAAGATGAGTCTTTCCTATAACAAAATTTCCTCAGCCCACCCCTTTTCGAGATATCACCCTTAAAAAGTGGTGACTAAAACTGAGTTTTTATTTTTTTTTCTAAAATTTCAGTAAAGCTAGGAACTTGAAATTTTGTAATCGCAAAGGACTAACCACGGGTATTTTTTCAATATTTCTATTACATTATAGAAGGGTGAAATTAGCAACACTTACTTTATTTCATATCAAAACTTTTTTTCGAGATGAACTTTTATAAAATCCTTGATTTATTTAATTTTTTTTTATTCTTGAATTTTTTTCCCAAAACCAATAGCTTCAGAGAAAAAAATTAACACCCTAATTTATTATTATTTTTTTTTTTAATAAATTGAGTGGAAAAGAGTGTAACGGGCTTGTAACTATCGTATCATACACTCTGTCATTATTCGTTTCTTGCAATAATTTACACCAGTTTACACCAGAAGATAGCACTTAACGAAGCGTTTTAGCCACTAATTTTGGCGAATTTTAAGAAATCATTAACAAGACATTAGGGGCTTAAATTTGGGGATTATATTAACAATAGTGCTGTCGAGGAATGTATTTATTTTCATTATATTTAAAAATTAAAGCCCTTTTATTTTTTTTGGAAAACTGGAAGGAATTAAAACATTAAAATATATGCATATTATAGATATTATTGCCTAATTTATTTTGCCAAAATTTAAATATTTTGAGATATTCTTGTCCGAAAATTATAAGGGGTATGAACACCTTAAGATTGAAAGAGAATTAACTTTAATTCATGAGATGCAAAGCATCATAATTGTCGCGTCACAAAAACCACCTGCTGCCAAGAGAAAATTGACATTTCGTGTTTTAATAGTTATTTTTTTAATTTAATAATCTATGTGAAAAAAATTTTTAATACAGACTTTAAAAAATTGTTATATTAATATACTTATTTAATTGTACTTATATTTGTTGTTCCTTTAATACAATAAATACAATTTACCTATCTCCAATTCATCACTTTCCGTATCCATATACCTAGGGTCCGATTACAATTAGAAAAACACCGCTACGTCATAACTATTATTTCGAATTTCCAATATACAGGGTGTCCCGAAATTAGACGGTCATATTTTAACAGCGTAATCTACATTCTACAAGAATTAGAAATTAAAAATTAAAAAAAACCGAATTCAAAAACGTGCAGATGCCGTCACCACATCTTAACCAAATTTATATAGGAGATCACCCCTGAGGTACCCCCTTTCTAACAAAAAAAGAATCATTGAAATCGGACACCGTGTTAAAGAATTATCACCGAACATACATAAAAAAAAATTAAAAAAAATATTGCGACGAATTGAGAACCTCCCTCCTCCTTTTATGAAGTCGGTTAAAAATAGGAGTAAAAGTTTATAAAAAAATAGGTCCGAAAACGTTTCGTTTTCGAGATACAGGGTGTTACAAGTGAAGTCCAGATGAAATATTTTCTAACATTTCTTTAGTTACCGGTTTTTCAAAGTTAAAAAAAAATTTAATTTCTAATTCTACAGACCTACTAATTATTGTTTACACTTTCGAATAAGGTAACATGCTTCTCTCTTGAAAATGGCGCGTCCTAGCGAGATGCAACAAATGTAGCTTTATTATACAGAAAATATTGGTTTTCCAAATTTTATAGTCAAAAAATCTGATGTGTCCAACACATGACTTTCCTATCTAGTTATTATAGGCTTTTTCTGGTTATTTTGTACAACTTATTGCAGTACCTCTATAAATGTTTAGAGGATAAACTAAATATATACATTTTCCACATACATCTATCTACCTCGAAACATTTTTCTATAGTTATTCATTGAGAACGAAAATACTGAAAAATTTAAATTTAGCAATTTTCCTACAATTTTTCCATTACGGTCCATTTTAGAAAAATCATGTATAAACAAAAATTATAGAGATCGATATCGCAAACAACTTTTAGTTTAGTTTAGAATTTTGCACATTTTGTCAAATTTCAGGAAATTTTGACATGAAGCAAAAATAATAGATAATAATATTAGAAGTAACTTTTATTTGAATAATTTTCTTCTCTAAACATAAATAACAGATATATTCAATAAAATATAAAAACGGCCTCCCATAAAGTACCCCCCCAGATGTTCCGACTTTGTCCAAAATCTAATTATTTCACGTCAGGCCGAAATAAAACTTTAGTTTAAAATTTAGTGTTTTTCTGTGTATCGGTTCATGAGTTATGGTGGATATAGACACACAGACACACACGGCTATTTTACCCTAAGCTCCCCCTAATTTACCCACCTAAGAAGATGATCAATAACTGGGGTTTAGTCCAATAAATGAAGCGTAAAAAGGTAAGTATTTGTAACAAATTTTACCTAATTATCTTTAAACGTTTAGAAAATATTTACAAAAGTGTGGTATCAGGACTTCACCTTTAACACCCTGTATCTCGGAAAAGAAAAGTTTTCGGACCTATGTTTATATGAACTTTTACTACTATTTTAGGATGTAGATTACGCTGTTAAAATATGACCGTCTAATTTCGGGACACCCTGTATATCATCTATAACTATCAATAAATAAAAAATATTTGAGTTGTTTGGTTTAAAAATAGTATTCCTAAATTCATATATTAACAAGCCACTAACCCCCAGTAGGCGGCGATAGCCAACGAATTATACCTGAATTGTAATCGGACCCTTCAGCGTACGACACACAACATTGCCAAATTTATGTAGCAAACAAGGTTCCAAATACTTTAAGGGGAGGTCGTGAGATTCGTGCGGTGTGACGTCAGAAGGGACTGGATTGCTCTTAAGAATAAGCAATCTCTGAACTGAACTGAACACCAAAATATAAAGATCTAGCCCACTAATATCCCTTATAAAAATATTTTTGGTTTAGGCACATACTTTGATTTTCTTTTACTATACGGAAAATGGTCGCACTGCGCAGCTTTCTGAGTGCCTTTTAAAAGGAGATAGAAAACTCCGCCATTTTGAACCCTTATTACGTGTTGCCTACATCTTGGCTCAATATTTTTAATGGGTGCGTTTTAATCATCCGCTTCTGCTTCGGAATTGTTTTCTTGTTTTAATATGACAGGTTAAAACGACTAAACCGACAATTCCGGAAGCAGAAGCTGATGATTAAAACGCACTTGATATTTTGCTTGCTGCTGTCAGTGTCAGTGAATATTATTTTTAGAGTCACAATTTATTGCTAAAGAATAAGTTAGCTCACTCGGACCAGTTGAAAGTTCCAAAATAACATCCACTCCAGAGATACAAATTCAGGATACGCAGAAGACTGCTGTTTTATTATAGGCGGTTGTCATATATTGTATTATCTGAGTTGCGCAGTGTATAAACTGGAACATTGAGATTAAAAGTGCCGACGCAGAGTGATCGATCTGATTCTTTAGCTATAAACTGTGTCATAGGGTTCAAAATGGCCGCGCCCTATGTTGGGCTTGTCGGACCTCTCTCTTGCCCCGTATAGTAATCAAAGTATGTGTCTGAGAACCATTGTTTAAGGTGGTGTTTTATGTAATCAGTTAATTAGTCATAAGTAAGTGATCTGTGTCAATTATTTATTTCATGTATAGGTGTGTTCTTTTATTCAACAATTGTTCCATTAGTGATTGATGTCATGACGTCACTGATTAATTTCTGGTGGAAGGTATTTGCGCTAAATTATGGAGGTTAGAGGAAAGAAGAACAATCTCTGTATACAAAAAGTGTCCCTCAAAATGTATACAATTAAGATGGCGCTTCTGTGCCCAGGGGACGTCGACAGTCGATAATTCAGATCACACAATGACACCAATGATGTATATAGTAATAAATATTGCTCAACCATAAAAAACTAAAAACTACACCGTGAAAAGTGACTGATCGTAGAAGAGTAAGTGTTCTGTGATCGTAGATAAATTTTGACAATACACGACAATAGTCAAATTTTATTGAAAAATAATAATATAAACAATAAATAATTCTTATAAATGAGCAATCTATATGACTATATAGCATTGGATTTTGTCCCCTGGCTACACGAGCGCCATCTTAATTGTATACATTTTGGTGGCCACTTTTTAATATAAAGATCCATATAAGATTGTCCTCCTTTTTTCTACGCTAAATATAAGAAAGAACGACATTTCTCAAATGAAAAATTTGACGTTTGACGTCGCTTTAAAAATTAAACCCGTTTTATTTTAAATTAACAGTAATTTATATCTTCTGTAGCCGTTTTATATTTAAACTCTTGTATTCTAGGTGAACTTTTATCTAAATAATCGTGTTCACACGTTTAAACAAATTTATTAACGATCCCCTCCCTTCATCTATCACATATCCATTGGCTTTTAAAGCCAATGGATGCGTTGGCTTATTGGTGAACTCATCGCTGGAAAAGAGAACGATTGACACATACAATCGTCCTTCCATCGCTTAATTTAGGAACGGTTTGTTGCAAGCGCTGGATACAGCGCTGAATAAAAGAACACGCCTTATGGAATCTTAAGTAACAAGTTTGCCAAGAGACCTGTGCTTACACACGTGTTGAATTATGCATGTTGAATATATTATATAGTTAAAGTTAAACTTCATTTTATTTGAGAAAATACCGGCCAAATTTAAGGTTATGTCACGTGAACCATTAGTGCATTAACACAATCCAGTCGATGATTTTAGGACAATCATTGATTGTAGATTGTATCAATAAATATAAGAAAACGCCTACATTCAAGTTTGTGAGCTTGCTGTATCAAAATTATTGAAAATATTGTTATGTTGTAACTAAACAACAATATAATAGTAATAATAAACATGATTTATTGGCACACCTACAAAGTCTTTGCCATCAGCTCAGAGAGAGGGAGTGACGTTGATAGATCTACCTTTCCGTAGCAATTCATTTAGACCTCTACTTGTTAGGCAACTCACAACAAATATATTACCCTTTTTTCTTGAATGGATTGCATCAGACATGCAAGTCTATTGACCACAAAAAATTATTTCTATATATATTTTATATATTGTCCATAAATGTTGTTTCCACACGGAACAAAACATCAATGTGTTCGAACATAACGACCAGAATAATTTACAACTTTCATTCCATTCATGTCTCATCCTTTGATATATGTCCAGTTAAAAATCTCTCGGTTGTTAAATATTTATTGGAAATTATCATCGTGTTTTTAGATTAAACCATATACGAACGTCCAATTATTTCTCAGACTCAATTTCCAAAGGAGATTGATCATTTTGTCAAAAAATTGATTTTCAATCGACTTTGTGGGCTGATATCCATTTGAAATTGATTATAATATACAGAGTGTCCATAGAAGGTCTCCTTACAAAATGCTAGCACAAATTCATGAAGATCTAGCTTAATTTGCCTATTATCAAAAGTTGATAGTATCCACAATACAGGATATCAAAGTTATTATTTTTTTATATTTTTGCACGAAATTTAATACTTGTGGATTCTTAGGTTGAGATATTGAGATCTGATCACACTTAGGATGTACACTGTAGAGGGCGCCGCAAGCAGTACTTTGCCTGTATTTATAATCAGACTCTTGTTAAAGTGGAGAATTGTTGTGCTTAATAGTTTGGCTGGATATTAGCTAGTCCAAGTTTGTAGTAAGGTTATCATATTCATAGAGACGGTATAGTATAGGTTACAAAATTAATGCCCCACGTTGGGCGCCAATTGTTGTAACCAACTTTAAAGCACATTGGATGCAAATGTTTCTACTGATAAACTAAAGGTATTGAGTTTATTAGTAGAAAAATTTGCATCCAAGTACTTAAAATTAGGTTACACAGACAAAAAATGCTTGCTCAATGTATATAAAAAAAAAATACTAACCTAGTTGGCGTTGGTGAACTGGACCTACTCGACAAGCTCTTGTCGTACGTGCCCTTATCAGAATCGCCGTCTGAAGACGGCGTAACCGAAACGTCTCTTGAGCCAGAATCGGAGCTCATCTTCATTATACTAGTGTTTATATCTTCGGCTTTGAGCAGTTTTCTTTCTTGTTGCTTTTTCAACGACTTCACCAGCTCCTTGTTGATGTCGAACTCGGTGGTAGGGGAAGGAGGCGCGAAAGGTGCCGAGTAGGGGGTGATAGTGCCTGGGGAATTAAACAGAAATAAGGTTATGTCGGGAGTCATCAGAGTACATTCATTAATATATAGAAAGTAATATAGTCAAGTTAAACAACTTGCGCTCAATAGGAATTTCTGTAAAGTGACTGCCTATATTCTCTTTTTGTGTTTTTCAGATAGATCAGCAAATAGTAGAGAACGTTCCTACTCACCATAATAATGCCCAGAATGTGTCTTAATAACCCCTCTCTCTTTCTGCTTAGGATTTTTTTCAAGTTTCTTGTACATTTGATTATAAGAACACTCGGCTTCGTGATGCCACAAATCGGTGCCGAACTTCAACCTGGTGGGGCAACCTCTGTTCCTGAACACGCACGGAAAGATGATTATGTTTGACAGAATTTCGTAGGCAACGTTTCTGATGCAGTCTGCCGGTACACCGTTGGAATGTATGCATCGATGACAGATGTTTCTGCCGTCGCCTTGCAGAAAAACCGGTTCGCAGGAGAGATAACTTTCACATTGTGCGCATTTTATTTGGTCAAGGAGTCGTTCCGGCACTGGAATCAGTCTGATATCTGGAATTAAATTAATAATAAATACTGATTATAATGATGCTACGGTATGTCAGAAGTGTAGCTACACTAGTTCTAACTCAAACGTTTTCGTAAATAAATTAACATGGTCCCAAAAACAATTTTTACTTTTTCGTAGGTTGGTATCACTGCTTTTCTCAGTAGATTTTTGTGTTTGCAACACTGTTCGTTACTATATTTTCAATTTTTTCAAAATTGATGCTCGTTTTCGTTTTAAAAATCTTTATTAAAATATATACGTTGCAATATGTAATCACATTTCCTTGTTATGAGACATTATATGCCTGTTTTAAGTGAAAATCTGTAACGATAAGTGATCTGAAGTTGTAATTGTGGTGTATGTTAGTTAGATATAGTTTTTTCTGGAAAAGTCGCATAAAAAACCAGAGTTATCGCTATTTGTCTACGTGAATGGTACGTGTTTTGTGTGTTTCGAAGGCCACTCTCTGACGTCACCGTTTGGTCTACCGTCCGACCAAAAAATCAAGGCCCACCGCCCAGTTTTCCGTCGGACTACACTATATAAGTATCTTGACCGAGTGAGCTGTTGTTAGTACGTTTGGCGCTGTTATGGAAGATGTTGCTACGTATCTGTAAATGTCCAGTTAAGCGTGTATACAGCCGTGTTTTCTACCCACGTTGTGCCACCGATATACGCTCAAGACGGTTGTTCAAAACTATACAGGGAAAACAATTAAAGGAAGTCCTAACAGGGTTACTATATTTTAAGTTACTATATTTTGAAAATATACAAAATTTCCTTTCGGAAACTTGAGCTAGAACTGGTATGTAGCTATACTATATTTCTTACGTCTTCCTCACCTCCAACTGGCATCTCCCTTTTCCCCTTTAAGTACGCTCTAGGGTGTTTCCAGAACAAGCCACAGCCGTTGGTGTAGGAGCAGCCGTTTTCATGTTTGTTGCAATCGTTCCAGTGCACAATGGCTGGACAGTGATTTTCCCAGTTTTGGCAGGGATACAGGAACATTGAAGCTAGTGCTTCGAATGATATATTCCTGTACATATTTTTTGCTAGGTCTTGGCATCTGCAACAAGGTATAAACATTAATGATATCTATTGGAAATACATCATATTTTATTTTATCTAATTAATAATCAAACAATTAACTTTTCAATAATTAATTTATTAATCCAATAATAAATCCTTTCACTCACTAATGAATAATTTTATTAATATTCTAAATATAAAATATTATAATAATAACTAAAGCGCTGCACCTGATTCCTGAATTAATTAATAGTTCAGATGATAATAATAGGTTACATTCTCTGCGACTTTGAAATCTTCTCAATCGCCGTTACAAAAATAAGGGTTTCTTTCCATCACCTGGGAGCAGTGAACTGTAGTAATGTAGCTAATTTAATTAAATTTAATCATACTATTTTTGTTGAAGTGGTTTTAATGTTTAATAAATTGTGAATAAGACATGAACTCTAAATTGAAACACCTCATCATCAAACCACATGTTCTGCTATTGGTGAATCAAGAAATGCAAAGAAAGTGAATAATTAATTAATTAATAGTATACAGTCTCACTGTTTGGCCAAGATTCAAGTCAATTATACAACAATATTTATAAATGACTTAAGGTTTATTTACATTTATGACTAAATGTTCATCTTGGTGTTATAAGTGTAAGAGTATGGATGAATGTGTTTCAACCTAAATTGTAGTTTCGAATGGACTGTATATTAAAAAAGGGAAAAATATATCCTTTTCTGTATTTATTGTTTATTTTGACAAAAGTTATAAATTGTATATCAATGACAATCTCTATGTTTAGTGGCGGAACAAGTATAGAGGTAAAAGGAATACAACAAATCTGCAACATACTGCCCGCCTTGAAAGAATTAACTTTCAATACCTCAAAATAACAAAAACATATGAAGTATTACAAAATAATACATTATTTTACATAAAGTGTCTTAAGATATATAAAAGCATTAAATATTTTAATAACCCAAATCTCAAGAAGTGTCAATACGCAGTAGACAGACTTTATTAACTGCACGTTTGTAAAGTCCATCTGCAGTTTTAACTAAAACAACTCGTACTATCTTGTCAGTGCCTGGATGCAAATCTACAATTCTACTCATTTTCCAATGGAGATGAGGGAGATTATCTTCCTTTAAGAGAACAAGTTGATTTCGTTGAAGATTTGGCGTTTGGGATTTCCACTTGAATCGATTTTGAAGATGAGTGAGATATTCAGAAGACCATCTTTTCCTTAGATGTTGATAGAGATATTGGATGTGGTTCCAGCGATCTAAACGATTGATTGGGATATCTTTGTAATTGGGCTCTAGAGTGCTTGCAAGAATCTTCCCAATCAGGAAATGTGCTGGAGTAAAAACTTGAAAATCGTTAGGGTTTTCGGACAAAGGAGTTTAAGATCCCTTCTGATTGAAGTACTCTTGAGGTACTCTTCGTAAGTGAAAACTGAATTTGCTGTGGTTCATCTTAAATGATGCTTTAAGGACTTTACGGTCGCCTTCCACAATTCCCCAAACGTTGGTGATCTTGATGGAATAAAATACCAAGTCATGGTGTTATTTGATGAATAATCTGAAATTTTACTCCAATGTTATTCTGAAGACAGAAGGCTTAGTTCTTTTAAAGTTTTATTAGCCTTGACGAAATTGGTAGCATTGTCAGAAAAAATATCTGTGCATTTTTCAGGCTGAGCCATAAAACGTTTTAGAGATGACAAAAATGCTTCAGTTGTTAGGCCAAAAACAAGTTCCATGTGAACTGCCTTGGTGGATAGACAAATAAATATTACTATATAGCACAAGTATGTATTAACTCTTCCACGTTTACGACTTTCTTGAATTGAAACTGGACCTACATGTAGCAGCAGGCTTAAACAAGAGAATGTTGTTACAAGTCAGTTGTGAACGCTGTCAAATAAAATACTCATTACTTGCATTCGTATTATTATTTTTAATAATATAATATTACATGGTGTCAGAAGTGGGATCCCCAAAATGAATGATGAAACTAAAAAGGAAATTGATAAATTGCGTGAGCAAATCGAAGAATTAACCATAATGAATCGCCAAATGATTGCATCCAAAACAGTAGCAACACAAGCGATCCCAGTTATCGACCCTCCGAAAGCATTCGGAATAGAGAATGATCCAGCAAAAGATTGGAATAAATGGGTACAACATTTCGATATGTACGAAAAAGTGACACAGTTGCACAAGAGGGATGTAGATCAACAAATATCTACATTTATGATGACAGTAGGAACTGAATGGTTTGAAACATTTAACAACTGGCCTATCGAAAAAAAAGCCTCAGTGACTGATCTTAAGCTAGCCTTTAAAGAGTTGTTCGTGCCAAAAATAAATACTGCTTATGAAACAATGATTTTCAATAGAATGGCTCAAGAAGAAAATGAAACCTTCAATTGCTTCTTCACCAAAATAGAAACACAAGTTAAAAAGTGTGAATTTAAAGACATGGAAGAAAGAATATTAAAAGATAAAATAATCATAGGTATACGAAATGAAAATCTAAGAGAGAAACTATTATCTATGGATGAACCAAGTTTAGCACAGACGCTTACTTTATGTAGAAATAGCGAAATTAGAAGCAAGCAAATGGAAACGTTAAAAAATGAAAATATAATTAATGTTAATGCTATCAAAAACTACAAAAAGTGCCAAACGAGTCCTTCGACTTCCTCTGAAACTTTTGAGTGCAGACGTTGCGACACAACCCATGGTCGTAAACAATGTCCTGCCTTTGGGAAAAGATGCAGAATTTGTAATAATATCGGACATTTCACCAAATGTTGCAGAAAGAGACAGAAATCGGAACAAATTAAACATGGCCGGAAGAGAGAAACGAGAACGAGAGTGAAAGTGATTGATACAGACAGTGAAATATCTGATTTTACCCGATCCTCATCTCAAGACACTTCAGATGAAGACTTTTTTGTCAAGGTCATCCTAAAATGCTCAGAGATCAGGGCAACAAAAACTAAGAAAGAAGATTTCATTGAAACTATCAAAATAGGTCGTCAGCTAATAAACGTCATTTTTGACACTGGTGCCGAATGTAATGTCATATCTGAAAAGTTAATCAGAGATCCCAGCAAAAATATTAAAACTTCGGGTACCAAAATGTTAAAAGGGTTCAATAATGCAAAGTCCGAGGTTATTGGCGAGATTACACTGCCTTGCGTCATCGACGACAAGAAAATGAAAATACTTTTTAAAGTAGTGAAAGAAAACATCTTACCGGTGATTGGAAAACACACTTGTGTCAAGCAAAATCTGGTAGCACGAACATCTCAAATTAATAGTATTCAAATCAATGAAAATCATCAAATATTCAAAGGGTTAGGATGCATAAATGACTTTGAATACAAAATAGATATCAGACCGAATGCGGAATTTCAAATTCGTCCTTCCCGAGTAATACCACATGCTATAAGAAACCAAGTAAAGTCAGAACTTGAAAATATGATTAAATTAGGAGTGGTTCGAAGAATTAATGAACCTACACCAATTGCCAGCCCTATGGTAATAGTAAAACAAAAGAACAAGCTAAGAATTTGTCTTGATCCTTCAGAACTCAATAAACAAATACTTAGGCGGCATTATCCTTTAAAAACAGTGGAAGAAATTGCTAGCAGAGTTCAAGGTGCAAAATATTTCACACTTTTGGACTGTGTAAAGGGTTTCTGGCAAATCAAAATCGCCCCAGAATTAGAAAAATACCTAACATTTAGTACTCCTTGGGGTAGATATTGCTATAGAAGGCTACCTTTTGGACTGTGTTCCGCACCAGAAATTTTTCAACAGTTACTGCCTAACGTATTGAAGGATATACCAAACGTTGAAAATTCCATGGATGACATACTGATATATGCCGAAACAAAGGAAAAAAATATGCAGATAACAGACCTGGTTATCAAAAAACTAAATCAATCTGGTATAAAACTAAATAAAGACAAGTGTACTTTTTGCAAAGATACAATAAAATTTCTAGGGCATCTGTTTACCAATTCAGGTCTAGGGGTTGACGAAGAGAAGGTAGAAGCTATCAAACATTTGGAGATTCCTTCATCAAAAAAGCAAGTCCAAAGACTTCTAGGAATGGTGAATTATCTTGCCAAATTTATTCCAAATCTGTCTGAGTTAACAGCACCGATACGTGAACTTATAAAAAACAATGTTTGCTTTAAATGGGACTACGAACAGGAACAAGCTTTTTCAAAAATCAAGGAACTGCTTATATCTCCACCCATTCTTAAGTATTATGACGTTAATGCAGATGTCACCATACAATCAGATGCTAGCGAAAAATCAGCGGGTGCAGTATTATTGCAAGATGATAAACCAGTTGCTTATTTTTCGAAATCCTTCACTGATTCTCAACGAAACTTTCCACCAATTGAGAAAGAAGCTCTAGCTATTCGTTTTGCTTGTCAAAAATTTCATTCATATATTTTTGGAAAGAAATTAATAATTCAGACTGATCACAAACCATTAGAATCCATTTGCAAAAAACCTCTTTGTTCTGCTCCTCCTAGATTAATCTTTGATATTCTTCAGTATTGTCCACAAGTGGTATATGTGAAAGGTCCAAAAATACCTATTGCTGATCTATTAAGCAGGGACTGCAGAAATATTCCTAATACAGAGAAAGATGATTTACAAATTCAAATCGTATTTTCTGGCTCTGAGCTAGCCCAGTCAACCATCATCAAGGAAACATCTTCAGATCCAGAGTTGGTTGCTCTTAAAGACATGATTATGAATGGATGGCCTGAGGAAAGAACTAAACTGAAAGAAGAACTAAGACCCTATTGGACTTATAGAGATCAGCTATCAATAACAAATTATCTACGTTTTAATGGCCATAAAGTAATAGTACCTAGATCTTATATACCTAAAATTTAAAAGATATCCATGCCAGTCATCATGGCATCGAGAAGTTCTTAAGGAGAGCTCGATCGTCAGTTTTTTGGATAGGTATGACAAAAACTATTTCCGATTTTATAAAAAA